ATATATATATATGAGTTAATCACTTAAATACTGCCGGTGTAAAATTTTTTTACACTAGCAATCAATTATATTTTTTAATTGTTCCATGTCACTATAAACTTTATTTTTAACAGTGATATGACACAATTAAAAGATATAATTGGTTGTCAGTGTAAAAAAATTTTACACTAGCAATATATATATGATTAACTCTATATATATATATATATATATATATATATATTTATTCATTTATTTATTTTAGGAGCTTATACTTGTTTTCATAAAGCAATCGAAGTAGTTTATAGATTATAAATTTTTATTTCTTTTTTCTTAACCTTTAGTATACTAATTTGTTTTTTTACTCTTTAATTTTGAAATTATTTTTTCTATCATGTCATTCACTTATTATAAAAACTATTTAATATTATTTTACATTAATCAGTTAGCTTATTATTTAATTTTAATTCAATTAGTTAACTTTTAGTTTTTTATATTTAAATTTATAACTTAAGATTTTGACTAACTTAAATAAGCTACTTTTACTAAACACGTGATATAAGAAGGAAACCGAGGCAGAGTTTCTTTCTTGTGTGTTGTGTGCTGCATGTAAGTGTGTAATGTGCTTGGTTCATTGTCTCAGTTTTACATCCTCCGACTATAGTAACTCCGGCAGGAGCTCCTTATATGAAACCGGTTTGATCACAAAATCCCCTTGAAAGGTTATAGTCCTTTCAAGCAGGGACATTTTTCTGGCGCTTTAACAATTAAAAGAATACAATTTATATCCTTAAGGATGAATTTGGAACCAGGGTGTCGTTGAAGCCAGCAACAGTCCTTTGGCTCTTGTAGGGTTACTGTTGAAGCATATCATAAGGGCCAGGTTAGCATGTGTTGATAGTCTATCATTGTAGGTCCAACGTTTAATAATTAGAATAGTTATTGAATCAACCAAGACATACTAATTTGCACTTTACTTTTTTTACCATATTTAAATTATAAACTAAATTGATGATAATTAAATATAACTTTTAATATATGATCTATGTGATAATAAATTATTATAAAATTAAAAGAAATTAAATTATGTAAAACTTTATATTACAAAAAAATATCATATTTTGTCTTGTAAGAAAAACATTAAAAATTAAAGGTTAATATAAATTCATATATAGATCTCGTTAATGAACTTTTATTTGTGGTTAATAATATTTTTTCGATAAGAATCAGTTTAAGTTGTTTTTCGATAATAATATGCTTTACACTGTTTTTTTGGCGAGTACATGAAAAGGGTTTTTTTATTTTTATTTTTTATAACAAGGTATAACTTTGTTTCTTATAGTAATAAATTGGTATTTTTAGTTACGACCCTATGTCTAAGACAAATCAAATTTCAATCCATAATTAAATAATACAAATATTGAATCAATTAAATTAATTACTTTTAATTCATGATAAAAGTTATAAAGGTAGAAATTGTAGGACAGGCATTTGTGAGTTACTTGTGTGTGCATTTGTGTTGAGTCAGGAACATAAAAAATAATGATAAAAAGTAAATTAGTTACCTATTTGTCGGTTATGATAGGATGAAATGAGGTCTAACGTAGGGATATTTTTATATATGGTTTAATAAGGACTCCGATGCAATTCGCTTTAAACACTAAATTTAGTAATTTTAATTGTTTATTTTGACAAAGGATATTTTGTATTTATATTAACACGAGTAAATAATTTTTAACTAAATGACGTTAAATTCACCGTTTGGTCGAGTGTTTTTTTCCTGAGAGTTTCTTTTGCATTAATTATATATTTATATATACATAATTTTATATTAATCTAAAATTATTTTATATCTATTTATATAAATTAAAATTGATAAAATATATATTTCTCAAAATACGTATGAATAATTTGATTACTTTTTTATTGTGTTTTAATTTTTACAAAATTTATTCAAGATAATATAGTTATAATTGAATTATTGAATTGATAACATTCATTTTTTATACGAAGTTGTCGGTACACAGGTACATAAATATTTAAGATAATATAATTTTCTCTTTATATATAACTTTCGTGCATTGATTGAGAATTATTTTAATAAATTTGTATAAATATATATTAAAACAGTGTGGACGGAAGCAGAATACTTTTCCATACATGTAGCAAACAAAGAAAATGTTTAAAGTAATTTTTGTATTGGCATGGAGAGTTTAAACAGCAGGTTCTTCATGAATTTCTAAATCCATTTTTACACGCTATACCAACCTGCACATTAAATATTATAACAGGATTACAAAGTTGGCTTCACATAAGTTGATCCTTGTATTAATGTGAGCCCTACCTAAGCTACAGTCTAACTCTACAGATAAGATTAGAGCCATGAAAAGAGAAGATGGTTGTTGTACCCTCTACTTTCTCGTCCCTTCCAATTTCAGAGTATGATGCATAAGTTTTTCTTGTTGCCCACAACTAAGAGTAAGAGGTGAGTTCCTTGATGCAACCCTTGAATTTGCACTTGTTCAATGCCATATGCAACATCAGCTTCCCATAATAAATGCAGATGGCTACTACACTCTTGTGCTCCTTTCAACCTATCCATTGTATGTTAAGTCCATTCTTATATACAACACTCAAATATCTAATTCACTAAAATTAGAAGAAGAAAAATTTAGTTAATTTAATTAATAATAATAAATTTATTCTATCTTTATATATCTTTTTAAAAATTATTTTTATATTACTTTTTCTCTTAATTAATATTTCTCTGTCTTTTAATCAATTAAAATGCACATCTTTTTAATAATCTATAATTAATATATTTCACTAAATTAAAAGAATATATTTTAATTAGAAATATTTTAGTCTAAAAATAATTAATACATAAAAGAGTGTAGATTGAGTCTTACATAATTGTTTAAAATTGGTTTTATAAATTGTAACGGATATAGTATTTTTTTCAGTTGAAATAGTAACAAACAGAGACAAGGAAAATGAGTGTGGTCCTGCGTGGAAAATTAGGAGATAATGATGAGTTATTATGCATTAAAAGCGCCACTTATATGTCTACAATGCAAACTACTACTACGGTACCATTCTAATTCTATAGCGACTTCCGAAGCTCTAAAACATCTGCATCAAATATCTTCATCTAATTTGCAGGATCTGTTTGCTTCTTCTTAATTCTGCAACTATTGTACTTTATCCACCATTGAAAATAAAATGAATACAGACAGCTAATCCGGTGCTATTGCATGTGACTAGATCTGGCTTGTGGGGACTTATGCCATTAACAAAATGGTTGCTCTGTCCACTGAGGCTTGTCGCACCAATAATATGAGTAATCCCTTGTTCACTCATCCACAATTCATTTAACCTTTTCAACCATCCCATTTATTAGTCTAATAATTCATAAATCATTTGGTAGTCTAACACTAACAGGCGTATATGATTTCAACCAATCTCAACAAACAAAATTTACATTTAAATTTTTCAATTCATGATAAAAAATTAATAACACTTGATCATATATTATATATTACAAATATTAATTAGAAATCATGTAGTACAAAATCATCTAATAATTTCTCGATTTGAGAACCTTTTCTTAGAATTCAATGTCTGTCTAGTACACTACTACTGGTAGTTGAACAAGTCACCCTTTTGACAAACAATTTGTGGTTTCAATCCATGGCTGTCAAATATATCTAACATCTCCGATGTGGACTCCCAAGCATCAAACTAAAATGGTTCCCAAAATTTACCAACCGAAATTCAAAGAATAAACATGGTATAACAGTAAAACTGTAAACGTTAGAGTCTCTCTTTTACTATAACTCTGAAATGGGATGATGAATGAGTACAAAATTCTGAGGAAATTTTGTTCTGTAAAAGAATCCCCGAAGGGCTCTGACTCTGTACTTGTAACTAGATCAGAGATATCTATGCAAAGTGCTACCACCTCTTAATGCAGATAACAAAAAGATAAGCTGGTCATCATTCCCATCATATTCTACCTGATCTTGAAGCATGTTGTATTTGGCCACAACATCATCTGGAAGAACCTTGTTTCTGCAAAGAGGGCATGTGGCACAGTATTGCTGCAGCCACTGATCCAAGCAATCCTTGTGAAAAGTGTGTCTGCAGTTCAAGTTCCTGACTTTCTCACCTTCCTGGAATTCTGCTAAGCACACTCTGCAGTCTATGTGATCTGCCTTGAGTTTTGTAGTGAAAGGAATTGTGGGGTTCTTCTCTTCAATGAAACTGAGGAATTGGGTGGTTGATATTGGGTTTGGTCGAATAAGGTACTGAATGATAAGGATAAGTTCTATTAGCATGTATGTTAACAGGACTATTGTCTTGGCATACAGCTGATACAAAACCTCACACACAGACGTCATGGCTCCTACTTCCTTCTAATGAATTCTTCAATCCACAACCATTTATTCTTTTTTCTTTTTTTCTTTATAACACATTCAATGCACGCTGGAGCCCCATAATTTCATTTACAACTTTTAATTTTTTTAACTAAAAACAATAAAAATAAAATTCTCGACCTCTAGAACAGGAAATGGCTGATCAGATAATATTGATAGTATAGTTGTACGAACTTGACTACTTGTGTTCTTTATTGTTATTACGTGTGATGCTATGAGTGGAAAAATCAATGAAACTTGGTCCCATGTCTCAACTAGTTATTATTATTATTATTATTTTAAAGTAGCTGGGAGAAATCTATGGTAGATTTGTTAAAAGATATACTAGTACAATACTTAAATATAAGTTTTGATGTTTGATTCAAGAAAAGATTATGAGATAACATAAATTAAAATAATATGAAAGGATAAAAGTTTATTAGAATAACATTAAATAATTAAGTCTAATCTCAAGCTTGAATTTGTTTATTCAATTAAACAAAGATGTTTGAATAAATAATTGACAAACAACACTTTAATAATTTATTAATAATTTGACTATTTGTACTCATAAATATTATTATTATTATTTGTTGTCATTGTTGTTAACATCATTTATCAATGTCATCACTATTACATTGCTATTATAATTTTTATTGTTATTATTATTGTCGTCATCATCATCACCTATAATGATACATTCACAATCATAAATGTTGTTGTCATCACTACAATCATATACACATCATTGTGATTGTTACAATCACTACTATTATTATTAAAATTATTGTTATTATTATTGTAATAAAATAATTAATATGAATTATATTAGGATAATATAATATATTTTATATTATTTTATTTGTATTATATATTATCCATCAAGCAATATACATAATAAAAAGTTGTCATATAATTTAAGTATTTATCATATAATGTTATTTTTTTATATTATACTTTATTATATATCAAACGCATACAAAATAAGACAAATATTATTTTGAATGACCATAATTATAGTGATAATAAATACTCATACTATTTTGGAATAAAAAAAAATAAAAAATATATAGAAGATGATAAACATAATTAGTGATATGATGGAAATGAGAGGGTTGGATCTCCTCATTTGATAATTTTGTCTAAGTCCTCAATTAAAAAAGAGAGAGATACTTTAACTAATGAATAAAAAAATAAAAAATAAAAAAGGCATGAGATTTTGATGGTAAAATTTTCATTTGAGAGCATTCAAGTAAAAATCTCGTAGGAGAAACTCATTCCCATGAGTCAGATAAAAATAATAATAAAAGTTGGCAGAAGTGTTTTTTTAAAAAATAAAATAATAAATTATGTGATTGCTGTTTGTATGATTATTATTAGGTAAAATATTTTTTCTTTGATTTTATAAAATATCGAACATTTGATTTTAGTTCCTTATTTTATTTTGTTTTTTCCCTATAGTTTTGAAATATGACACATTTAATCCAAGTCACTAACTTGATTAATTTAATGTTAACGTAATTACACATGAACAATTTTGTTGATGTGGAAGTGGAATCCTTGCGACATCCATATAGTCGCTACATAGTAAATGTTACATGTGTCATAATATTTTTCCATCCTAGAAAAATTTCAAACTTTAATTTTATTTCTCATAATTAGTCTCTATGTCGCCCTAACATATACAATACCAACATGTAACTCATTTTATCACTTCTACATTAAATTAATGGAATTAGCAATTTGTGTTAAATTAATCTGACATATTTTATAATTTTAGGAATGAAATAAAAATGATGAATTGCAATTGACTATTTTATATTTTATAAATATAAAAAAATATTTTTACTCTTATTATTATATCTCAAGATTGCTTTAAATGTTTTTTTTTTTTGCATTTCTTTTAAAACAAAATGTAATCTAATGTAATATATAGTATTTGGAAAATTTTAGTTTCAAATATTCTTTACTATATGAATTATTTAAATGAAATGTATGGAATTTTTTATAAGAATGAAATGTATGGAATGTAATTTAAGAATTGTTTTTATGAAATTTCATAAATTAACCGGGAATATCTCAATCCCGTGTCACTTTACAATCAAATACATACATCGTACCACACACTTTTGTGAATAAAAAATCATATAAATTTTTTTATTTTATTGTTTTATGATTATTAATTTTACTTAAGATATTTTTTTAGTGTTTAATATTGTAAAGACTTTTGTGTAAATATTAATTATCTACTACAATAATTTGATAAATAAATCAATATTTAAAATAAAATCTTCAATAAATTATTTTAATTACTTGAAAAAAATGTCTAAAATTTTTCCTTTAATGGTCAGGTTTTGATTGTAGGACAATTGCCTTGGTCCATAATCAAGAGAGACCTAATTTTTTTTAAAAATTATACAATTGTGTTATAATTTTTATATTATTTTAAAAATAAATTATAATTATAATTTTTTTAATGTATTTTTGTTTTTATATTTAAAATATACAACTAAAATGTCTTGTTATCTTTATTATTAATTTTTTATGTGTTACATTTATAAAATATTTAAATAATATTTTTATCTCTCTAAAATTTTTCATGTTTGATTCTAGTTTCTCAAATTTTTTGTCTTATTTTGTCTTTTTAATTTGGAGATGCATTATTTTTGGTCCTTAAAATTATTTATATAATATTTTAAAATAAATTATTTTATAAAAGTAAATTGAATAAAAATATATTAGTATTTCTACTTTAGATTTGTTAAAATAATTGTTTTAATGTAATAAAACATATTATATTCGATTAAAAGTTCAACACATTGTTTGCTCTATGAAGATTTTGAAATTTTTCATTAGGTATTTAAACTATAAAAAAAAAATTGTAATGAAGTCATTCATTATTTTTTTTAATTTAGTCCTCAGGACTAACTAGAGATATGTTTACATTTTGTGAAATATGAAATTATTTTTTATATCTTTATATCTCTAAAGTCACATTGGATTATTATTATTATTATATATAATCATACAATTGTAATGGATTTTAATCTACTTATGGAAGTTTTCATAGTCTCTCTAATTATAACAATTATAAAATAGTAGAAAATTTTAACTAGTGATACTTAAAATCCAATACAAATAAATACTGATATCGAATGATAATATAATATAGTTGTCTGAATACAAGGAAATAAAAAATATAATAACAAATTATAAATTAATCTCTAATTGTATGAACTAAATTATAAAAATATGAAATACCAAATTATATATTTTTTAAAATTTAAAGCCTAATTAAAAATTCTCAAAAGAACTCATAAACTAAATGATATATTAAGCTTCAATTAAATCATGTATCTATTTTTATATTATAAATATTTACATTTCAAATATTATTGCTTATTTATAAAGGTTCAAATTTATTGTTTCATTTAGGGTCCATAAAATATTAGATTGACCCTTGATCTACAAATAAATTAGTTGAAAACTAAAATTTAATACATTGATTGACTAAATTATTAACAATGAATTGAGTCATTAACTATTTCAAAATACGAAATCACATATAGGAAGATTATAAAGTATACGAGTTATTTATTTAATTATATATATATATATATATATATATATATATATATATAACTTTTATATGACTTCAATATTTATATTATAGATTTATTTTCATATTATAATAATTATAGTTGTTTATTTTATTAAATTATCCTTACCAAGTGATCATAAAATGTGCCACTCGTAGGAGGTAGATGAGCAAATTCAATATAGCATGGCAAAGGGCATGGATATAAAGTGATAGCTTTAAATGGAACAATGGGGCACTTGTGCTGTTTTTTACGCGCGTTTAAATTAGTTGGTTGGACCACTAACTCGTAAATGATAAGGGTTTTTTTTTTTAATTTATTTAAAAAAAATAAGGAAAAAAATATTAAAATAAGTAACTTAGAATCTAAGGACATAGTGTGACATAATTTATAAATAACTTTATCTCTTAAATATATAATTAAGAATTTTGATTTCTAGTATATATATATATATATAATATTTGTCAAAGATATCAATTTCTTAAATAAATTTTAGTATATTAAGATATTAGTCTTTAACTCTCAATTAGGGGTTATTTTAGTTTATTAAACGAAAAAAAGACTTAGAATCCATTACCATAATTATTAAGAATCCTTTGGGGGTAGTTGTGAGATTTTAGTTTTTATTTTTAAATATTATTTTAGTTAGGGATTATTTTAATTTGATTTTGAAAGATATTTACATTCATTTTTAAAACTAAGAAAAAATACTTATAAATTTAAGTTTTACTTTTTAATTACGTTGTTCCTATATTTAACAACAATACTTTTTATTATGGTTATTGTTATCATCATTGTTATTATTATTATCAACAATGTTATTACTATTACTCATATACTATTATCATTACTTATATTGTTGCTATCATTATCACCTTCATTAATACTATTTTTATCACTATTGACACTACCAAGTCATTAATATCATTATCATTATCAAATAACATTGACATTATTATTAACCACCAATAATTGTTGTCACAACACACATTCATAAACTAATTTTCACATGATAAAGTTTTAAAATTTATTTTAAGACTAAAATTATATGTAAATAAATAAAATAAAACTCAAGTAAAATCTAATTCAATTTTTTTTTTTTGAAACTTACGATTAAAAACTCCAAATGACCTAAACTAATGTTGAAAGGGTTTTTCGAGTGTTTTCATGTGCTTAGTATAAACGTTCACTTGCTTCCTGCTGGCTTAGGAGTGGATATTTTCAAAAGAAAGTTTCATGGGAAGTGGGGTGAGCTAAATTGATAGCAAAAACTATGATCTATTTAGCTACTTATTTTCCAACTCTTATTAATTCTATTATTATTACTTTTAGCCCCTTTAGCCGTTAGTTGAATGACAACAAAAGAAAATTTATTAAAATGTTTAAGTCAAGGTAATTGTACCTGTCTGATGGGCACACTAAGTCTTCTAGTAGTCCAAAAGCCGAACGAGAATTCCGATCCGACACATGGGTGAAGGGGTTGGTACCTGCAAAAAGCACTCCAACGCTCAAGTCAGGACAAGCACGAAT